AAAATGTGATTTTGAATTTTCATGATTTTACTTTGCGTTTTCATGATTTTAGTAATTGAAACGGTTTAAATAGAAAAGTAATTTATGAATATTTAATTCAATAAGAGTCAAATTCCTAGGTAACGTAAGAATTTGATTCTTACTTTTAGAAGATGTACAATATGCACTTTTAAAAAGGTGTATATGATATATTTTTCATAATTTTTTTTATAAAATTTCATAACTTAAACATAAAATGTCATAACTTTTTAACTACAAAAGTTATAATTTTTTTTCATTGAAAAATGTCATAACAAAATCTTAACGTGTCATAACAAAAATTATAAAATATCATAACATTATAATCCCTAATTTTAAGGTACACATCATAAATTTGCTATTCATAACTTTCTTACGATGTGCACCATTTGAAAATGTGCGCATTGTAAATTTCTCCCTTACTTTTTCATAAGAATCTCACAATTTTATAAAAATATAAAAGGATAAATTACAAATACACCTCTTGAGATTTGCTTAAAGTATAAATTGCCCCCTGTGTTTTGAAAAATTACAAATACCCCATTGTTAGAATTTTTTATTTAACAAAATTAACTAAAAAAAATAAAATTCATAATTATTTTCCTATACAATAATAAAAATACCTAAATTATTAATTGAAACATATTTCTAACATTATTAAAAATTGTTACTTGATTTGATAATTTATTAATAAAATGGACGATTTGTTATGTAATTAGAAATTTTAGAGGGTGAAATGTAAGTTCCAAAACTACAGGGGAAGTTTTGTTTTTTAATTAAATCTCAAAAAGTATATTTCTAATTTACTCAATATAAAATAATAATTGTAACCATACTAAGCCCTGAGGTTCCATGTTTTACACTCCCCAAGGCCAACTCTCAGGAATTGATGCAGTGGTCTTAGGCTGACCCTCTTAGGATGACCCTCTAAGTGTTGGACGACCCATATTCAGGACTTGGGTGTGGAGTCGAATCCTACCAACTGCACTCTCTGACTGAAATAGTGCGTGAGTTGTGGAATTGGTGCACACATCCGAAATTTATCCCTCGTCCTATTTCGATTAACCGACATTAAATAGTTGACTCTGAAATCAACGAAAGACAGGCTAAAAAAATTTAGTCCTTAACCCCTCCAAAAAAATGATACTAATGCTTAAATAACATTGATATATATATTTTTTTGTCCCCTCGAAGTGTAATGAGATCATAGAGTTGATGCTAGACATAATCCACCAAAGGAAAAAAGACAATACCTAACAATCTTTCTTCATCAATAAAGCTCAACATTATTATTTTTTTCCCCACAAATCCACAGTAATTAGTTAACAAGTATATTTATGAATGTGATACCTTACATACTCCAGCATTTCCATTTCTAATAATCTATGGTTATATATATATATATATATATTTATTTATTTATTTTTAGTAGGTGGAATGTAACTAAGCTGTGACCTCACAGTACAATGTAATACATCAATTACAGGATTGAGGGTAGTTTTTTTTTTTTTTTTTTTTTTTTTTTTTTTTTTTTTTTTTTTTTTTCAGACGAAAAAAGGATGTTTTGAGGTGTTATTATTATATCTGTGGGTTCTGGTCTCAGGATAGTCAGTTGCCAGTCTAATTTAACTCAATCCAAACGAGATGACCCACCACTGAGACACTAATGAAGTTCAACCACACGCTACAGACAATTCCAGATTTCGAAAGAAGTACAAGTGAGATCTCCGAAGAGAGTAAGCTACGAAGCATCGGAATTCATCTCTCTTAAGAATCAAACCTGAGTCACGTTTGTGAAAAGGAATTGAGGATAATTTTTAAATTTTTAAATTTTTTTGAAAAGGAATTGAGGGTAGTTGATTAGCAGCTTTTAACGTGGGATGACCAGACATTTCATTTGATTAAGCTTTTTCTTTTGAAAATGGGATGTTGCATGAAAGGCAACACTGTGAATATGATGTAAAACTAAAATGACACGCTCATCAAACAATTCAAACTATTGGATAGATAGAAGGCAACTCTTTTTTTATTTTTATTTTTATTAATCCTTTTAAATAAAAAAAAATTAGGTTATGATGACATCATCTCGAATCAAAGAACAGTAAGTTGGTTTCCCTTGTTGGCAACATTTCTTCTGCTGGAAATTAAAATAATTTTGTAATAATGGTTGCTTTTACTACTTTGCCTTTTTTTTTTTTTTTTCTCTTATCTTGTGTTGAAAAGAATTTTGTACATAATTTAGCAATGTGGTGCTCTTGAACGAAGAAAAAGTACTAAATTAAAAGATGAATGGAGTTAACTTGACTTATCTTGATCGATTAGATAAGAGATTCTCATATATATATATATATATATATATATATTTGTTATAACCACGTGAATACTTTTGAGAGTATTGAATAGTTTTTTTAAAACGATACCACTTTTTCTAATTATTTAAATTTAAACTAAAATATTTAATAGTAATTTATAATTTTAAAATTATCATCTACTTTCTTTACTATCTAATTATAACAATTGTTTTTATTTTACTTTCTCTGTATAAATAGGCCCGGCCCAAAAGGACCTGCGCATGATCTATGACATAGGGGCTTTTCCATGTTTCAAGGTTACAAGTGGGCCATGACCTCTACCTCTCCTTTTTAATGGATTTGGAGCTCTTCACATGAAGATTTTATATTAAGGTGATGCTAATTAACTTCAAAAATTAGATTTGTTTTTCAAATTTAATGATGTGACATTATTTTAGAATATCTAAATTAATTCTCTCTCTTTCTGTTATATACCATTGAATATAAAAAATAAACTTGTATATCATTTTTAATTTTTTTTTCATTGAACCTTTGGCTGAAAGTTAGTTACCACCTTGACAAAAATATTAAGCGATAAATTAGGCACAAATACAACTCCAGTGGCGCTACATGCACTAATTAGCATATTAACTAGTGTATCAACACTAGTTATGACATTATTAATGACCTCATTCATTATATAAATTATAAATATCAAAAACATCTTTAATTATGTCATATCATCAATTGATACATTAGTTAGTATATTAATCAGTGCATATTGCATTATTCATACAACTTATAAGGACAGTGGTGATATCTCTTTAAATTGGAGTATCTTGGACCCGGGAGTAAATAGGCATCATTAACACTTTTTGTCCCTTTTGGGCCGGCCCAGTATTTGGACTGAAATCAGCTCAGAGAACAGACGCAATTTTTCAACATGAAGCAGATCAAGGCCCAAGAACAGGACTGTTGGGCCAACTAGTAGGCCCATCGTTGGCAGCTGCTTTCCTTCTCATCAGTTATCACTCCGTTTTCAGAAAGGGGAAGTCTGGGACCAGACTTAACCCACGAGAATTTTTTGAATAATTGTGGGGTGAAAATTAATTTATATAGTGTAAGATTCATATAAAACTTATGTGAAATGTGATGAAAATTGATTTTTAAATAATTTCGGAGTTGATGAGGATCGATTTGTAATATTATTTTTTTTTTTTTCAGAAAGCAGCAGTCAGAATAAAAAGCATTTATTAGAGAAGAAGGCGTAGTGCGCACTCCGCGTGGCTAAGAAGAAAGGGATTCCTTTGCTTTAGTTCCTCCTTTAACCGTCGTCTCGTTCAGAGAGGGAAAAAGGATTAACACGACCTGTGGTAAAATAAAAGAGTAAGGTTAAGAATGTTAAAATTTTTAGTAAATGCTTTTTATATGGTTAGGGGTTGTTTGGAATGTGTTGTGTAAGTATATTTTTTAATTTTATAGTTAAAAATTAAATAGTATTATATTATATTAAATTCAAAATTTGTATTAAATTATATTATATTAAATTAAATTAAATTAAATAATATTATATTATATTATATTAAATTCAATAATATTTATATTAAATTAAATTCAATAATTATATTATATTAAATTCAAAAAAATATATTAAATTATATTATGTTAGATAGACAAAAGGGTAAATTGGACTTTTTACATCATATCCCAACCAAGGGGATATGATATAATGGGAGGGGGGTGGTATTGTATATCCTCTACTTTTGGGGGATATACAATCCCACCGGATATTATATCCCCTTCAAAAAAAAATTATAAACATGGGATATATGGACCCCACCAAATATAATATCCAATCCGAATCTTCATATCTCCCAATCAAACAGGGCCTTAGTTCCTCCTTTAACCGTCGTCTCGTTCAGAGAGGGAAAAATGATTAACACGACCTGTGGTAAAATAAAAGAGTAAGGTTAAGAATATTAAAATTTTTAGTAAATGCTTTTTATATGGTGAGGGGTTGTTTGGAATGTGTTATGTAAGTATATTTTTTAATTTTGTAGTTAAAAAAATAGAGAAAAAAAGATATACGTTTATGATAATTTTTTAAATTTTTATAAAAAGATGTGTAATAAATATAGTAAAATTAAAATGATTATTCCACTTTTATTGACTTTTTAACTTTTGAATAATTAAATTCAAAAGGTAAAATAATAATTTTACCCTCTAAGCTACCTTCCCAAGTTTCTCCCAAATAATATGAATTTTTTAATTTTTTTTAAATAATTTTTTAACTTTTATAAGTTACTCCAAACAAAGACTTACATTGTGAGTGTTTGGAAAGTGAGTTTTTTTTAGTTATAGGATATTATTGGAGAAATTTTTTTTTGTGTTTGAGAAGATAATTGAATTTTTTTATAGTTGAATGTGATATTTATAAAAAAATAAAAATAAAATAATTATGAAATTTGATATGATATTTTGTTTGAATTTATTTATTTTTTTAATTTTATAACTAATTTATCTTTTAGTAAAAAAAAAAAAAAAAACCCTAAAAACTAACTTCTCAAGCATCTCCATTATAAAAATATTTGATAAAACTTTTGAATCTCACATCCTCCAAAATAAAAAAAGCCGAAGAATGAGTGAAAAAGCACATATCATTACGTGGCACAATTCCCCAAAGCGTCACCACCTCTAACTCCGTCATAACGGACACCATCACACCACTCTCTGCTGCCGGGAATCCCAACAGATATATATAATAATAATATAACTCTGTCCGACTCTCTCTCCTCATTCTCTGCCTATTCCCACTCCGAAACCTTAATTCTGTAAGTCTTAACGATCCTTTTCGCAAGCGTATTTGGTGTCGTGGTTTCCGTTTGATGAAAAACCCTCGATTTTTCTGTATAATTTTTTTAATGGTTGTTTTTCGTATCATTACTTGTAGTATTGTAGGAGGAGTTGATTGATTTTGGGAGTTTTGGATGCTTGTTCAAACTCCTCCGTCCTATGCTTTCTTCAAGTAAGGTGTTATTTGTGAAATCCACTCCTCTGTCTGACATTGTTTTACATTTTTTTCTTGAATTTTGAATTTTTGTAATTATGGAATTAAAAACTTTTATTCTTAGTCATGCTCTATATTTATTTATTTATGTAAATGTTGCTTTTGAGCTAATTGGAGGGCATATCACATCAATTTCTATGTCAAAAAGTCTAGGCGCGACCGAACACATATCCATTCTACGAGGGTCATATATGCTTTAGTTAAATCAAATAAATTAATGTTTTTTTTTTTAATTCTATGTCAGATGGGTCTTCTCCTCTCCTAACATTTCAATTTATGGTGAACCGAAACAGTTTTTTGTTATATGAATTATTTGTTTATTTGGGGTTTTGTTGATTCCAGGAAGCTTTTGCAGCAGCCTTCATCATTTATATATAGGTGAGTATGGGGTCAGCTTGTTGTGTTGCTAGAAAGGATAGAACCTTGATGATCGAAACCAATGAAGAAACTTTGCAAAAAAATATGATATCTTCACCATCATGGAGTTTCCAGTGGGATACTCAAAGGCGCGTGGCAGGCCAAAGTGAGAATACTTCATGTGAACCGTCTCATGGAACCAGCACAAACAGTAGCATGGAAATGGAATTAAACGGGGCATTGGTTATAAATGGGAGTAATTTTTCTGGTCAGGGAAGCCCTCTACGAAATTTTGTAACTCCCACATCTCAAAAGTCTCCACTTCATGAAGGACCAAGTGCAAATTTGATGACTCCTTTAGGTAAAGCTTTAAAATGGCATCTTGTTTGTCTTTTTACTACTTTTAGCTGTAGAGCATTTCTTGGTATGATCATTTAAATTTCCTGTGGCACAGAACTTAAAAATGATTGTTTGCTTTTGATAAGTTACGAAAGGCCATCATTGCAATTAGTTTCCTCTATAGGCTCAATAACATGATCACATTTTGGGGCCAAAGCTCCTGTCTAACTCGATTCATCATCTTTCCATTTCTAAATATGCATCTGTATATGTACTAGTGTGTGATAAAAGATTTTGTGCCTTTAAAGCTCCAGCTAATCATGTATATGCAAATAGTAACCATGAAAAGGCATTCAGTATTATTTTTATGAAAAGATTGCACAAATTATTTAAATTCACATATGCATCACTAATCACTAACTAGTAAATATAAGAACACCCTGATAAAAAGTTACTACAACGTGATTATTAGCATATCTGCCACTGATGGAGGTCGTAGCCATTGTGAATACTATAGTTATATGGCTCTAAACCCGAAAGGTATGGATGCATTAATGAAAAAGGATAGGACATAAGAGTTCAGTAATTTCTTGGTGTTATTTGGTATCCGGTGCTTCTCTGTCAATGATTCATTTTGCTGATCACTGCTTCCTACACATTCTGTTACTGACATTACATGTCATGCTTAAAGTTTCTATGAGTAGACACCTATGGCAATGCAGTGATTTCTGTTTTCTGGGCTTTGCTGATTCTCATGGCCTTGTGAGCGATGGATATCCTTCCTCTGGATTCCATGTGTTAATGTGGATTGTTTTGTTCATTAAACTTAACTGGTCAAAAAACTTATGGTAATGTAATAATGTTGATAACTTTAGATATAGTGAGGCATGGTCTTGTATGCTTTTCCTTCACATTGTAATTTCATTATCAATTGCAAAAAGTAGCTCTATTCGCAAGCTGTAATTTTAGTGCTTCCATTTTCTATGCTGACTGATATGATTTACATGCTTGTTGCAGTAGATATAACTCTGGCTAGCAATGAGAATGCAAAGGTGAGATTGGATCCGATTGGAACTGAAAGACTGATTTCCTAAGATACCTAATTTTCGTTCTCCCCCTCAATTAGATTGTCTTTTAATCTTATAGGTACAGACCTCCATACAAGCTCTGGAAATTGTAGATTCATCTGCCCCAAGGGTTTCACTTTCTGTACCTTCAAGCTCTTCTTTCACGATGCCAACTGCAGATCCTTCATCTTCCCAAACTTGCTCACTTCCAGCAAACTCAACCCAAGCAAGAAGGGCTCACCATTCACCTAGACACCAGCTTTTAAGGCAACTCTCAGATAGTCGGATCCTGGGTCTGAAATCGCCAAACAGTTACTTGCCCTCCGAGGGTAGGCTATCTTTTTTGCTCTCCACATGCAGTGACGAATTAACAATCGGATCCCAAGGTGGCTCTTCTGATGGCTGGTCCACACGCACCTTCTCTGAGCTTGTGGCCTCTTTTCAAAGAGAAAGATGTTCCTTCGACAGTGATTTTTTGGGCTCTGGCCAAGGCAAGTTAAGTGAATTTAGCAGTACCTTCTCATATTCGCCTTCCTTTGATCTGCAAACTTGTGGGGTTTGCTCAAAGCTATTGACACAGAAATCATCATGGAGCAGTGAGCTGTCAGTCAAAGCTGTACTGGTCTGTGGGCATGTTTACCACGCTGAATGTTTGGAAACTATGACATGGGTGGCTGACTGTTACGACCCTCCTTGCCCAATTTGTACTGTTGGTGAAAAGCAACTGTCAAAGATGGCCAGAAAAGTTTTAAGAGCTGAACCAGAACTGAGATCGAGAAGCAATAAGAAGATATGTAGGAGTCGAGTTGTGGATAGTTATCATGATGCTGAACTCGATGTTCTTGATCACCAAAAAACTACCAGTGAGGAGGAAAATTTTCCAAAGATGGAAGCCAGTTCAAGTGGAAGGAGATCCTTTGCAAAGCCCTTCTTGAGGCGGCACTTTTCACTTGGATCTAAGCGGAGTAGACTGCTGTCAGAGAATAACTCTGCCAAGGAGTTTGGGGCAAGATATCACTAGGATTGAGCTCCCCGATTGGGTAGGAGCTTGCACATTTGCCTCATAATACATGTTATACTAGCCTCCAGGAAGTTTAGTAGTGTGTGTTCAGCTTTGCTAATAATTTTGCAAAATTATATGTTCAGAAATTCTGATATTAATGTCAAAATTGAAAGTGAAAGTTAGCAGCATTGGATGCCAGTAGAAGTTCAAGGATGTCCTACATCTTGTTTATGACAACTTTGATATAATGATTAAATTATTGGTGCAGCAACCTCAATGCTATTCAGTTATTACAGGTAAGAATGTAAGAACTTTAACCTTTTTGTTAGAAGGTGAAAAATAAGGAAACTTGAGCTAGTAACTGCTTCCTAATTAGAGCATGGGGTGATAACAAGTATTATTTACTTACAGTGCTGTGACAATGTTATGAGTAACATAAATTAGCATCTCTCCACACACAAATTCTGATTCCTATCCCCCAACATCGACAAATGAAAATAGTAAAAAAAACAAAAAACTTTAAAAATAAAAGCAGAGGCAAAACATACTAGATGCTGTTGCAACTCATATGAACTTGGGAGACTATAGAAATGGGTTATCCATATCGTCAACAATGCTCTTCAATCCAGATTTATAACTTGGATGAAATAATCTCACTCCAAGTTTTTCCTTTATACGAACATTGGAGACTCTCTTCCCTTCCCTCAAACTTCTCGTGGAACATGATTCTGCCTCATTGCGAAACACAGGTTGCTTTATATGTCCAGGCCATTTTTTGTCAATTAAGTCCCAAGAATATGAGAATACTTCAATGCGTGGCGCAGGTTCATCATCCACTACATTGTAGATTGCTCTGCAATAAGAAAAATCGAATTAATCAAAAAAATATCCCAAGCTATATGTAGTAAAAAAGCGGAGGCAACGAAAAAAAAAAAGAGGTTGACAACAAGAAATCACTCAGATGCCTGTCCTCAAAAAACAAAAATCAAGACTAAAAAAACAAATGAAAATGATAGTTGGCTAATTGGGAGGCCAATCACAATGACAAACATAAACAATTTATTGCTTTGTTAACAACACATGGTCTTGTATTGTAGGACTTTAAAAATTTTACGTTTTTACACATCATGTGGGCAAATTTTTCATGAACTGCGCAGAAAAGGGAAATAATAAAATCAACTGAACCTACCCCAGGGAAGGCTTATAAATACTGGCCCTTAGTGCTTGACAAATGTCAGCAAAATGAATTCGGGAAGTGTAATGCCTGGATGCCCTCCTCCTTTGAATTTCTGATGAAGGCTCCTGCTTAATCATGGTGTCCACAGCACTGCAATAGAAGATAGTTCATAAGAAAGTGAGTGTTGCTTGCACAATGGTTAGCCAAATGATATGAAAACTATGAATTTTTTTATAAGTTTTTTGCAATAAACCATCATAATGTGAATCGTTATCCATTGGTTCCAGATTAAAACAATGTCTTGTATACATCAATCACTTTGAATTGTTCATTACAACCTTCTGCCAGGGCCATAGATACCTCCAAGTCGAAATATTTGTGTTGAGATCCCTAAATCATGGCCCAATTTTAACCATCCTTCCTCAGCAGCTAACCTTGCTTTAGCCTTTTCATCTGTAGGGCTTACTGGATAACTGCTACAAGATCACACATACACATACAGTGAGAGATAATTGATGCTAGCTTACCATACAACTCAAATGACAGTGCTTGATAAAACTACTACACTTACTCCTCATCCACCCACATACCACCACAATTACCATATACACCTGCAAGTGAAAAGAGATACGTCCAAAGTAACAGAGAACATTCAGGTGCTTGATAACACGGTAAATAAAATCATATGATATTTTCGTAAAGTTACGGATAACATTCGAGTGCTTGATAACACAGTAATCAAATAAAAAAGCAATCCTAACAAAAACATACTGGTTGATGACAAGTAACAGAGCCACTTGAGGTTTCCATCCATTAGCCTACTTTTTAGAAGTTCTTCATGTTGCAGAATCTGCATAATATATAAGAACATAAGCATACTAGGTAGCATGTGGAAAGAACCCATCACAAAAATAAATATTTAAAATTAGAAACAAATTTCGAAATACTAAAGCGCACATTAATTTTGTACCGGATCACCAATACCAACAAGGGGAGGGATGGAGACGAGGAGGTGAGTGTGATGGTTCAAAACATTTAGGACTTCCAGTCTGAAATAAAAACTCAATAATGTAGGTGCAAAGAACATAGCAAATAACACAAATTGATGAATCTAGCAATACCCAAAAAACAAAAAAGAAAAAGAAAAAAGAGAAACCTTAAAATATTGACCAATGTCTTTACATAACCTATGAGATATTGAAAATCAAAGAAACCCAACACAAAATCTTATATTTTGGACAATTTGCATAGAAGTGTGGCATGAACTTGAGGAATCACCATAACAATCACAGAAACTCACTCTGGTTCATTTGCATTGAAAAGATAAATATCAAATCCCATTTCCTCAAGTTTCTTTTTCTTCAAAAGGCTAGTGCAACTCCCAGATACAGCCCTACAATTCCATGTCCAAATTGTCAAGTTCTATAACAATTCAAAGTATGAACAAAAATCAAGGTATTGAAAATCAGATAGAGAACACAAATAACAAATCTAATTTCAAAATTAATGGGTTCAAATTACAAATGAAAATTAGGATTTTTAATTAATATCAAAAAGCAGAGAACCTAAAAGAGAGATTACCATCCATGGTTCTTCAAATCTTGAGCGAAGAACTTGCCGACAAAACCCATTCCCATGATGAACATGCGATTCGGAGATTCCGACTCTGACATTTCGGTTTCTTGACGAAAATTACTAGCCCTAAAACAGGGGAGGAAGAACGATGTCGTTTGGGAGCTCGGAATGCGGTGAAAAAGGAAGCTTGTTGCCGGAAACTGAACACACATCGGATAAATCTCCATCCCCGAAATATCGGACAAATCTCCGGTGATCGGCCGAGTTCGTAGAAGAGCGAAGATACTACTGCTGTTTCGACTTTCGAGGGTATTGTTCACCTGGTTTGGTTTTGATTTTCGAAAAATACTTTTAAAAAAAATTATTTTTTAATTTATATATATATTTTTTGTTTATAATAATTTTATTTTAATATATATATATATATTTTTAGTTTAAACACACTTAACATAAATATACTAAAACTATATAATATTTATGAAAAAAATCGTTAAAAAATTAACTAAATACAAAAACTATATAAAAATATGAAATTTTTTTCAATTTTATCCGTGTTTTTCCAATTTGCTATTAGCCACTAGAGGTGGGCAGCGGATATACCGATCCGCTAAAACCGACAAAACCGAACCGATCCGCCGCATTTTGGACGGATGCGTGATGACGAGCGGACTGTTGCGAATTGATTTTCTCTAATCCGCCAATTTGGCGGACGGATGGCGGATTTGATATTCCTTTGGCCGCAACCGAACCGCCAAACCGCGAGTATCCTTAGTAATTTATAAGATTTTGTGTTTTCAATTTGTTTAAATATTTTGTTTGTGTTTTCAATTGAAAAAAAGTTCAAATATTCTGTTAAAAAAAAGTTTTCAACTTGAATATATTTTCCGAATTGAAAAAAGTAAACGTATTATTTATCTATATTTTTTGGTTTTTAAATCTAACTCTAAAAGTAATAAATAGAAAATATGAAATATGCTGGTTGGTTTTAGTTTTCAAAACATATATAAATGTAACAATACAGAGACATACAATCTCAACTATTGCTCTGTTCATGATTTTTGTGGTTTGAATTGTTTTTATATTTGAAGAACTACAGATTGTAATACTTTATATGGATGAGGCATGTTGTGATTGTAATATGTGGATGAGACATGCTGTGATTGTGATATTCTAAAGTTTCAAAGTTTCTTTCTTTGGATGAGGCATGCAGTAATTGTAATACTTTTTTAAGTCATTGACTGTAATACTTTTTTTTTTTTTTTTTGAGGAAATGCACAAGTTGAACTATGTTGAAAATTTATAAAATTTCAAACCGCCAATCCGCGGGATTGGCGGACGGATGCGGATTGATTTTCTCCAATCCGCCAATCTGGCGGACGGATGGTATATTGGAGGTTCTGTGGCCGCAACCAACCCGCGCCCACCCCTATTAGCCACCCATTATTCGTCCCAAGTTCTAGGTAAGTCCTTTGGTTAGGTAGTGTTGGATCTTAGGATTCTCCGAACTGGGTATGTGTGAAAACATAGCATGTGAAAACATGATAAAATTAGACAATGTATTGAGCTCACAGTAAATTATTTCAAGATAAAATGAGTCGATTATTTAGAAGTAATTCTTCGGTTAGTTTTAGGTTAACAACTTTGCCTTCTATACTTAATCAAGATTTAGTAATCAATGAAGAAGATGTAGAAATACAAAATGATAAAATTGATTTAACTTGGAATATACCACATTTACCAATTAAAGAAATTTATAAAACTACTTTTATACAAAATACATTTAATGTTAATCTCCATGTTAAAACTTTAGAACAAGTCTATACTTTAGAAAAACCTAAAGAAACATGTCAATTATTTGATGCTAATACTATTAAACGTCATTTGAAAATTGGTCATAATTTTATTCATTTAGGGTTAATTCAAGTTAGAATCAAACCATTAACACAATAAGGTAAAAATACTTCTGTTTTACTATGCTTACGAGATGTTCGTTTTCTTGATTATAATGATAGCTTAATGGGTATGATGGAAATTGGTCTCCATAAAGGACCTGTCCATTTTAATTGTTTTCCTGATTTCACTCTTAGTCTTAGAGACCCTTATATACTAGATGCTTTAATTCTAAATATTCAATTACATGGCTCATTTACAAATATGAAAGAAAAGGTTCATAATATTGCTTTAATTTATCGTATTCATTACAAATGTATTAAAACCAATTTAAATATTCAAGCATTACATAAAAGTCATAAAGACAAAACCTTACTAATCCAAAGTAGCAATAATGATACTAATATAAATATTCCTCAAACTGAAGATGAAATATTTAATATACCTTTATTCAGAAAAAATAGTCAAATTCATATTAGTCAAACTTCCCATAGTAAAATGAAAGGCGTAGATAATTCAATTACATGGCTCATTTACAAATATGAAAGAAAAGGTTCATAATATTGCTTTAATTTATCGTATTCATTACAAATGTATTAAAACCAATTTAAATATTCAAGCATTACATAAAAGTCATAAAGACAAAACCTTACTAATCTAAAGTAGCAATAATGATACTAATATAAATATTCCTCAAACTGAAGATGAAATATTTAATACACCTTTATTCAGAAAAAATAGTCAAATTCATATTAGTCAAACTTCCCATAGTAAAATGAAATGCGTAGATAACTCCACCACTTCTCAAATTAGTAAACCTGTTTATTCAACACACACACATTTACCTGAAGATGACACTGAATCTCAAGATTCCCCAACCCAAACTGATTTCGAAGTTATACCTCCAATTAATCCTCAATTAATGACTACTAGTAAAACTTTTGCTCCCGATCTTGATAAATTACACATTGAATTTAAATCTAAAACTAATAAAATCAAACATCATGCTTATCGACTTAAATATAATTCTAATCAACACTCCATAATCACTCGAAAATGGTACAAATTTATGACTGAACATAATATTGAAATTCCTTTCTTTGAATATTTAGAAGATTATTACAAAGAAGTTAAAGCAATCACAAAACATAAATGGAACACTTCTCCTAATACTACTGTTCGTTCTAGTCACTCTCCTTTATCCACTATACTCATTGAACATCAAGGATCTACTATTCAGGCCTCTCCCTTTAAGTTAACTAGCACTGACCCTGAAATCAAAAAACTTACTGAACAAAATAATTATACTAATCAATGTTTAAAAACGATTGGTAAACAATTAGATAAGATAGAAACCAACTTAGAAGATTATTCAGCTAACCATACCTCTTCTAGTAAACAAACTTTAGACCAACCACTATTAAATTTACCTAGTAATCGGTCTAAACGAAACAGTCTAATAACTAAAGATAATTCTACTGTCAAAGTTATAGAACAATTATTTTCTAAATTAACTACTGAATAGGCTTCTCCTTCTACTGAAAAAGATCTTACTGTTTTAAATCAACAACCTACTCTAGAACCTATTTCTACTCAAATAGAAACTGATACAACTGATAATGAAATTAATATCTTAGCCCAACAATTTCAATTGACTAATCTTAATAAACTTCATTATCCTAAACCAACTCCAACCACTTTTACACATGCTCAAACCACAGTAGGCGGCGGCAGTTTTCCCATGCCCGGGCTCCATGGCGTGCCAAGCCAAGATCCAATGGTGACTAGGGGAGTTTCTGGTGTGATGAATGGTGCTCCGGCGACTGTTGGTGTCCAGGAAAACATAAGGAGCATGATGGCGCAAAAGGGAGCGCTGCCCGTACCTAATCTTGTTACACCACCAGTAAATGTTACCCAAGCACCAAGCGAGCCTCCTTCGGTGCTGAAAACAAATCTGCAAGCACAACCCGATATAACGGCGCCGCACGGTGGACTTTACGGGCCTCAATTCAATGTCCCATCACCAACTGGCTTGTCTATGGGCGCTGATGGCCAATATCGTCAAATGTCCTCACCAATGATGAATTCGCAGCACCAGAATGGCCAAGTCGCCCCTAGTTCAGTCTTCGGGTCCACAAGCCAAGTCCCGGGAATACCACCATCAAACTCTCTCCCTCAGCAGTTTCTCACTCTCGCCGATGTGCAGGCCATGTTCGATCTCGAAC